AGAGGCGGCTGTGGGGATCCGGGGAGGGGCAGGTGGTAGTTAGGGAAGATCAGTGAAGTCTTTTCACTTCGACAAAAGCACGTTTCTTTCCTGAATCCCTTTCTTGCTGTTACCAGTCCATTTGCCATTTCAGTTCCTTAGTACAAGTACAGCTCTGTAATATATCATGCCCTTAGGGAATAAACTGCAAGTTATATGATTTTCTTCTTAATAAAGAATTTGTTTTTAAAGACTTACATGCTGTATGTTTAATTTTGGATTTGGATTTAGATTTTGAAGCCGTCTGTTGTTAGTTTTGGTTGTAGGAGGTATAAGGCATTCTGAAGAAACCCTTTCAGTGTCCAAAACCATTCTCTGCCAAACAAATTTCAAATGACAGAACTTGGACTCAGTGGGGATTTTTCTTTGTTGTCTAATAAACTGTGCAAACAGGCCTTGCTGCACTGGTGTTCTGTCTATGCCAGGCACTCAGTTCCTTTGCAGCCAGCCGCTGGCACGCTGCATGCTGTTGCATGCTTGGTGGCACAGCAGCTGATGAGCTCCTTTGCTGCTCCAGATAGTGCGGGAACATGGAATACCTTTTTCAAGACTGATGTGATGCTGCTTAGCTCTGCAGAACCTGAAGCACTCTCAGAAGCGGGAACTGTGCCCTTCAGACGAGGCAAAGGTCATTTACATTACTACTCTAAAACAGTCACGCTTCATTCTTCCAAATAAATGTGAAAGAGGGCGATTCTTTAATTAGAATTCATTGAAATTGTAGCCTGTGGATTCCAGACCCTCAAAGCTCAGCTGGCTGCCTGGTATGGACACAGGGGGATAAAAAGCCCTCCAGCGAGGTGTGGCTTCCTCCGCACCTCTCAGGCTAGCACCTGGGAAGTGACCTGGAGCAGGGGCAGATGACACAGGTACAGATTACTCTCAAGGGTTTCCTACTGTCAGCCTGTGTTGTGCAGGAGCACCTGTGTGAACGAGATGAGGGAAGCACTCCAGTTTACAATACATGTGTGTGTATGCATGGTTTGGGTGGTTTTTTGGCCAAAGCTCCCTTGCCTCTCTTGCAGCATGGCCACAAACCCTGCTGTGCTGGCCCGGGGCAGCAGCAGGCAGGCCCTGCCTCTCGCACACGCTTTGCTCTGCGGGGCCTCAGCAGCACGGGGAGGTGTGTCCGGGCACAGCTCGGTTTGAAACCTGTGACATTGCCACACCTGGCAAGATCAACCTCCCCGCTAACTTATAATTGGGAGATGTTGGTGTTTGAGTGAAGCTTAAAACAAGTCCAACATTTTTTTGTGTTTCTAACGAGGAGTTCTTAAAAACTAGGTAAGGTTTCTTGAATCAAGACTGTTAAAAGCCAAATGCCACTCAAAGCTTAGATATCCGGCTATGAGTTAGAGAGCTATCCTTAATATCATCAAGTGTATCAGTATTCATCTCCAAATTTCAATCTGGAATTAATTTGGAGTGTGTCTCTTCTTCTGCATCATCTGATGCAGTAAACTCCATGATCCTTTCTGCTGATGTAGACTTTTCTGTAGATTGAAGAATGGTCACTCTATGCTATAGTTACTGAAAATGTGATTATTTTTCCTCTCCAGGAACAACCTGTTAGGGAAGCAGAAGGGATGGACACTGAAAGATGTGCTGTAGTGTTAGCCACCTTCCCTTTCCACAGCTGTATTGATTGCATCCAGACAAAACTTGCTTTCCTTGGCTTGCACCTCAAACATTGTATTACATCAGTTGTGTTCCTAACACAAAACTGGAAACATGAAGCAGATGTCCAATGGTTTTAAAAAGAACTATACTTGGTAATCTTAGTATCACACCTACAGATCTTAAATATGATCTAATAGCTGTTAAAGCTTTCTCATTTCCTCTCTAGCTGTTTCTGGTCTTCAAAAGCAGTCAGCATTTAAACAGGAGGGATGTGTGCAGGGTGAGCACAGAGCAGAGCTTAAGGGCCCTACGGCAACAAGCTGTTCAGCTGTCAGCTACATAATTACCAGGAGCTCTTCCTCGCTTCTAATGCGGTACGTTCTGGGAGGCAGAATAGGATACCAGGGGTTACCAGGAGTATGTGCAGTGTTCTATGATAGTAGGTAAAAATGGTTTTTCTGGGGGAACTTTCATGTTAAGTCCTACTAGCTAAAGAAATTCCCTTTTCAGAGTAAAGTTGATGTTTCTCAAGTCAATTTACAAAAGTGATTCTAACTTGTAACTGTAAAGCTATTCTCTACTGTTATTGGAAAAAGACTGTAAAATGTTACCTGAACATTAATGTCACCCTGGCTGTGACGTGAGGTCTCCGTGGTTCTGGTACTACTGCCATGATGAATTTTGTTACTCTCTAAGATGGCTATGCTTCTTGGGTACCGCTCAACACCAGTGTCCTTTTCATTAACAAAAAGATTAAATCTAATTTCATATTGCTTGTAAGAATTGTTAAAAAGATGAATTGGCACTTAAAGAGTCCAGCCAGGTGTAACGACATAGGAAATTCTGTAGGTCACACGCCCATGTCGGAGGTTGCTGCTGGGATGGAGCTTGCAAGGACACCCAGTGCTGAGGACTGCTCGGGTCACAGGTTGTGGAGGCAGGTGACGTGGACTATTTAGCATCTAGAAATGACAGCTTAGTTGGTTTTATCTGTGTGCCTGGTGCTTTACGTGTTAAGGAGTGTCAAGCATGAAAATACTGCTTAACAGTATTGAGTCTGGTTTTTAATATCTAATCCATCAGGACCAGTTAAGTGGGAAAGCAATAATCCTCGCCTACTCTCCTCTTGCCAGAAATTAATAGCACAGTCTAAACAAGGATTGACATGCTAATGAGGAGCTTAAACAGCCTGGGTACGGAAAACTGAAAATTAACCTGAAATGACATGTACATTTTCACAGTAAAAACTGAGCTTGCAATGAGTTTACTGAGTCAGTAAATTGATCTGTGCTTTGTTTCAAAAAGCCAGCTTGTCAGAGCGCGTATATCTCTTGTACAACAAATTTAATTATTTGAAATTCAAGAAGGATGAATTACCTGAGCGCCAGTAGTCTCACTGTGATGGTCAGAGAAGCCCCTGTAAACGCAGACACCAGATTCGGCAGCTACGACACCGTTGACTGTTCTCTGCTGTGCTGACCTAAGGTGCGTGAGGTTTGTATCTTGGGGTTTTGATACCACAAAGCTCTCATGAGGGGGTTCGGATACAATCACGGGTTCTTCTGGTTTTCTGGCTCCAAACTGAAAAGGCGAAGCATAAAAACTAATATTGACAATAGTGTCAAAACCATAATGTGAAGGATAATGCTTGTCAGTTGGTTACTTGCTTGTTTTAAAACCTCTCACATAAATATTAAAAATGCTACCAACAAGTTCCAGAGTTGCCATTAAACCAACTTTTAATTTCTTCAGGTGCACCCCCTGCTTGCCTGCCTGATTGCATGCACGATGCTGCATTAAACAAAGCACGAACGCCGTTCATGCAAACTGAGCGCTCAGTCTCAAAAGTCTGGTAAGCAGAACACAAAACACAAGAGAGATGAGAAATACAGCGCGGTCACTTTTGTCTTTGAGGTGTTATTCAGTGGCCTGTCACTTGTCAGAATCAGAGAGGAAATCTGAGAGTCTGCCTTTATTAGAGTAAATACACAGAAGATTCATCTTCTCTGCACAGTAGTACACCAGCAGCACTTTGTGTAACCTGCTCCAGGGGAAGAACTGAAAAATGTCTCAAGCTGTAGGGAGATTTCCACCAATGGAGAAAAATTCAACGGAACTACTCTATGATCTCTACTTGGAGAAAGTTTAAAGGAAAATGAAGTGGTCAGTCATGGCATCAACGTTAATGGCATCCCACTGATCTCAAGACCGCCATTTCACAGCGGACTAGTCCTTCTTCTAGAAAAAAGTATTTTCCCTTAAGCAGTTTCTTTATAGGAAGATTCTTTCTATGGAGTTCTTTAGAAACATTTGTTCTTGGTCTGTAGAGCATGTGTTACAAGTGTGCCCATAGTGAATTTGTTCCTGAGAAAACTGACTAAATTAGCGTTGTAGTTAGCTAATTGGTCTCTTTTCCTGCCTCCAAGTCAAATTGGGGTGAGGAATGGCAGCCAGAGGAAAGCTGATGTCACAGATACAACTTTATCAGGGTGAGTGGCTTAGCATGTGAGATAGTGATGCCCTACCTGTCTCTGAAATAAAGAGATGCAATAAGAGTTTAAAAACAGAAAAAAAAAAATATTAAGAGATGAACTCTTCTAATCAAAAGCTCACTCTGAGCTTTGACAGGAGAAAGATGTGAAAATTGCTGCCTAAAAGCACTTTTTCAGCTCAAACATCATCTGTCAAGAGGGTGTAGCTTTGCTGTGTGCAGCAGAAGGGCTTGCTTCACTGGCACCCACGAGCTCTGAGATCCACTGACATTTTCTGTTGCCTCATTCTGAATCTCCCTGCTTGCCTGCTCCCTAGCATCCTAGTGCTTTTCTCCTGACACTCTCAAGAGCATTTGGTATTTCCTTGTTCTCAGCAGTTAACAGAAAGCAGCGGTAAAACATCCTTAAAATAAGCAGACACTGAATATAAAATCCTCACCAGTTGGTTTGCACGAGGCACTGGTATTTCAAAGCCAGACCCGTGCAGGTTGAGTCTAGAAGGATAAGGAAGTCATTTAAATAAGTAATTTAAAGAACATGCTGCCTTAGTGTTGGTGAGGCATGTGTGTTTTCAGTGTGCTTGTGTCCGGGCAGAAAAGGGGGGCTGAAAGGCTGAGGCACAAGAAAGAGCTTTGGTTTATCTGTACTACTGCTGGGAGCTTTGCTTTACTGGTTAGCACGAGCCTTCATGTCGCAGAAGGGCTGTAGCAGCGTGTATTTCAGTGACCGTTCTCCCCTGGAGAAAGTGTGCATTAAAACAGCACACCAGAACTGCCAGGCGGCTCAAGGGGCATGTCTGCATTGTTTTCAAAATACTAAAAAGCATAAAAATTAATGAAGTAAAAGATAAACTTGGAGCCTGATGCTGTATTTTGCAAGATGTGAGACTGGTTGACGGTGCAGGCATCAACCTGAACAATGAAATGTGTGCAAGGGAGTGCAGACATTTAGATAATCAGCACTTGCAGGCTTTAAATCTGCAAGGTGTGGGTTACTGGAGCATGGCTAGAAAGTTTGCTGATGCTAATTTCTTATTAAACCTGTCACTTTATGGGAGTGCTAAATACAATGCCGATGTGATGTTCTTATTAAAAAACCCCAAATCACACCTTTCAAGAGACACCGGGAGGAAGACCAACTTTAGAGGTGTTCTTACTGCTTAACTTCATGCTGCTTTAAAATATGTATATTTTATAAATACGTATGTTTTATGAAACTGATTTTTCACTGAATTCCTGCTATACGGTGTTACAGTTGCACAGTATTTTTTCCCTAGCTAGTAGCTTAGAGATTATACTCAGCTGTTTGTTTTCACACTGAAAGTTTTTAATCCCATTAAAAGCTCTGGTAAACATACTTTTCCCTACCATTTGCTGAGAACTGTTAACCAGAACTATTTTTGAGCTCTGTTTCGTAAAGACAGGGGTAAATCATAAGAGAACGCAATACTAAGGTCCAATAATAATGTCTTGAGTTAACAGGGTAAGTTTACAACCTCATACTGTCCTGGGAAAATAACGGCGTAGTCTCTGTTGTACCAGCTTTCTAAAGCCACGTTCAAATTATCGTGTTGCTGAAATGGAGTGTCCAAATCTTTCACCTGTACAGGAGAGAGTGAGCACCACTTCCTACATTTGAGCAAACTAAAAAAAAAAAAGCAAAAGTATAGTTCCATATTTCAGAACAATCTTCTGCCCTGCTCTGTTTCCTGCAGTCAGTCAGCAGAGCTTTTTAGATACTGGGACTGTATTTTGGAATTCTGAGTTTTCCTCCCACGCTGCCGTCTGCAAAGAGACATTCATCAAGGCTATACTGGAAAATAAATGAAGAATTGCCTTTTTTTCCTAGCTCCTAGGTTTGTGCACATCTAAGCTCCTGACCTGCAGCCAGCATCTGGTGTGTAATCCCCCACTGTTCCTCTTACCTTCTGCTAAAGGAATTAGTTGCTCAATGTAGCCAACGCTTTCTCTGAGGGGGAGAGGGAGTAAGAGTTGTCTCAACTGCATCAGCGCTCTTTCCAATGAAAGAAATTGCAAGAAAAAGAAAATTCTTAGCTGTGGGGAGCAAAAAGAATAATAAAATGTTTGGTCATGTATCTCTGTGCCAACTGCCACTATTACCGTAATGATGGCCCAAAATTCTCACCTGTGGATGGAGAACAAGAAGTTGAAGGTCCCGTCCTGCCTAGGTAAAAAGATACGTAGTAGCTGGTACCTACAAGTTTAGGAAGGCTTCCAAGGGAGAAGAAAAAGTGTCTGGGGATTTTTTGGATGATATAACTTATTGTAAAGCATCTTAGAAGATAATTCCTCTTTCAACTGAATTTTGTGCTGCTCTACAGATAATTCCGGAGCGATAACCACTTCAGCTGGTTCTTCCTTTTGTGCTCAGCTGCTCAGACCACCTACTTGCCACATCCAAATCCTCAAAATAAACTTTAGCTTCGTGAAATGTCAAGGCTCTGGGCTTTGACTCATGTTTGAGAACAACTGAGGAAGTCTAAACACAGCATTTAGCACAACTGCCTTTACAGCGTTTGTTTGACAAACTAATACAGCTAGGGCCAAAACTGCCTTGATGAAGTTTAAGTATCGTATAACCTAGACCACCACTTCGTGGTGGATTTATTGTAGCTTTAATTAGTTTTAATTCTATGCTTGCGTCCATAGGAACTCTGCTTCATTCCATACACTGATAAGTGACATTCCTGAAGATGTTTTCTATGTCTGTTTTCTACTTGTCCTCCACTTTTCATCCCTTCGCTCTGCAGGCCTGATTGATTCTGGGGTTTGGTGGCAAGAAAGAATTAGAAGATTCAGGATCATTCAAACTCTGCATGGTGGGAACTGGAGAAGCATGGCCTGCCGGATGGTCTCAGAGCAGAAAACTTCTGTGAGAAACTCCCAGTGATGTCATATTTTCCAAGGCACCATTATAAACTTTATTTTTTCTTTTAATCTTTGAGTGACTCAGAAATCTGGCGCTGTGCAAAGTAAGAGCTTTGCTGGGATGATATGAGCATCTGTAGTGGGTGGAAGGGTAGACCTGGACATTAGGAGTTCTCATCCAACTGAAGATGAATTTAAGGAACTGAGCTGGAAGAAAGAATCCATAAATACCAGGTGCTGATCAGAGCTCAAAACTCTCAGGACAGCCAAGACCATGGATATAAAAGCTAGGATTAGAACACAGTACGTTATCTAATACAAGGACACGTTATGGTGAAAAGCAAAAAAATCATTATAATACTGTGACAGATAGCAAATAGAACATTTTGCCCAATGTATTTCTGTCCCACTCCCCTTCTTAAAATATAAAATATTTCTAGTCGTGAGTATTTCTGGTATGTAATCACTCAAGTCATAATTAAGGAATTTATATGCTCATTTACATGAGAAAAGAGAATTTTTTTTTTCTCCCTGATACTGCCAGCTTTCCCATGTAATTCCAGACAGCGGATTTAATCCAGTTTCACATTAATGGTACATTCTTTATATTCTCTGTGCAATGTGCAAGGCATCTGCATGTTAGCCTGTGGATATACAGGCAACGAAAGCTGTAATTTCAAAGTACTTATTTTCTTTTTTATTTTTTTTCTCCTAAATTTTCAAGTAGCTCATGGCCCAGAAGGCTTACTGGAGACATAGGTGTCCCATTTCTTCAACAGTTCACATAGCACAGTACGTTTTCCAGCATTCATCAGCTTCTCCAGCTGTCAGTTCTTCTTTAATGCTACTTTGATAATGAATCAATTCCAAATGCAAGATTTTATGCTTCTCCAGATGCTTTAAAAATGGTGACCCACTGCAGCACAAACAGTTCCTCAACCAGAGCTGACTATTTCTCACAACTTTCATCATCTCATCCCTCCAAATGAAGTCAATGAAGAATGCAGATATCTTCATATTACAATATGTAAGTGGATACAGCAGCAATAAAGAGCAGGAAAAAGTTGTCTTTTTAAAAAAACGCTGACATGTAAAAGCTTGCAACTAGTTTTCCCAGTACAGAAAGACTGCAAGAAAAATAATTAGATGAAAGAAAATTCTGGCATAACTATAATTTACTGTGGGAAGGGGAAGACTCGGAAGCTCTCCAGGACAATCAAACTTACCCGTTTTTCTGCAGAATATAATCGGTAGCATACAAAATAAACAAAAGTTTCTTAACGACAAGAATTTGAGATTAGTAGCATTATTGGATGCTTCAAGCCATCTCCTGAACACATGGCTGCAGAGAGATAAGGCTGAAGGAAATGAGAACATGCAAACACATTGCAAATACTGCGGGGGCAGAAGGAAGGGGCTACTAAACTCATCATGCAAGAACTAATCACAACAATGGAAACAGCTTGGTTCTGTTTTTAGGAGAAGCCAAATTAGAAGATTTCAAGTACATCCCTGACTGTGAAACAACATTAGACTTTTAGATATTTATAATCTCTTGGAATGCCCCCACACTTATAAACAAACAAAGCAGCAAAATACCAGACCTGGCACATTTATGCATGAAAGGGAGAATGTGTATTTTAAGACAAAGGTTTTCCAGTGCTATAGGTCTTGAGACTCATCTCATCTGAACCACCAGTCTCAGAGAAGATAGAACAAACCCAAAGTAATTAAGTTTTGTGAATTCTCTAGTTTGTGACCTGAATCTTGAAGAGCCAGGAGAGAGCTTTGAACTGCTTGCTCACACGCATACCACACACACATCCAAACTACTTGGATCAGTTGGGACAACAGATGAGCAGTAGCATTGGTGTTTACTGCGTGACCTTTTACAGCTGCCATAAAATGGTTCATCCTCCTCCCTTAGGGCTCATGCAGACATTTGGGTTGGCAAGCAGAGCTGGCAGGCTGCTCGCGGCACTAGCCAGAGACTCGGCGATGCTTCTGGAAGAGTTTGGCTTCGCTTTGGGTGAGGCAGCAGTCTGCCACAAAAGAAGAGGAGAGGAGTTAAAACAGTATCACAACTTTGTCTGTAGAGGCCAGTTGTCCTGGTGCACCCAGGTAGCTGAGATGCACTTGTATTAGCACAAGAGAAGCTGGGCGGCTCTGCTACGCTGGTAAGGAAGAAGAGGAGCAAGAGTGATGAAGTAACAGATGGGTTAAGCCACACTGACAAAAAAGAACAGACTGAAAATAGGCAGCAGTGGGACAGCATCTACATCCTGCACCAACCCTTCCCACAGTGGAGAGAAAAGGCGCCTGTCAAAGAGCTCACTAAGGGACTTGCAGCTTTTTCAGCCCAGGAGAGCACTGGAGAGGCCGTCAGCCTTGGGAACACCTCTGATGCAGCAGTTTTCACAGAACTTTGCTTCCAAAGAGCTTTTCTTATTTTTCATAGGAGTGCCTGTGTTCACGTGATTGCAGCAGTAATGGGTCACAAAGCATCTACAGGAGAACGTGGATATTATGTGGAAGTTCAAGGTGCAACACACATTGATCTTGTTTGTACGTAAATGAGGATAAATCATGCAGAAAGATGTTCTGCATATACTAATGACTGCTGAAAAAAGGATCACCATCAGTATCAGGCAGTGGGAGAACCAGAGCTAGGCTCTATCTTTAAAATCAGTTTGTTCCCAAAACTCATAGCAAACTCACAACCTCCAATGCCTGGGCACTTCAAGTCCAGAGTCACCCTGCCCCTCTCCAAACTGGTCTTCCAGAAACACTACACAAAGCTCCAGTTTCTCCAGAATATTATCAGCCAGTTCTCTTGGTACATTTTCAGAATGAGAAGAAAATGGTTCAGCAAAAGATACGAGGCTTTGAGCTAACACAATGAACACTGAAGTGGTTTGCAAGTAACTTAATTTAGACAAAAGGCTACATCTGTCAGTACCTCCTTACACTGGTATCATCATAGGCACAAAGAACGAGAGAGAGAGAGACATAGCTGTATGATCCTGTGATTCAACTCACAATGCTCCTTAAATAAATGGTCCATAATATTAAACTAAAAATCAGTATCTGTGAGAACAGCACCTTAACTTCCTCTAATTCTTTCCAGGCAGAATATCTTTGAGTCTATGTGCAATATACTTTAAAAATAATGGCTACATCAGGTAGCTATAGTAACCAACATCTACAAGTGAGCAACAAAAGCGTACTTAAGCTGTCCCAAATGCTGGCTTCTGAATTTACATTTTAAAGGATGGTTCCTTTCTCATTGTCTGTGACTCATGTATTCAAAGTTGTCTAAACAGTGCAAGTAGCTCACTTTGCTTTCCCACACTGTATATCTTATTTTGAGTTGCGTCCAGCTTTGATGGAGCCTTCGTTTCCAGACTGAAACTTTCCAGGTTGTGGCTCTGTAAATGTGACCTTCAAACTCTGCGTGGAGACTCTCCAAAACAGACCAAAGGAGGAGGAATTACTCTAAACTGAAATACAGACTCAGGCCTGGTTTGGTTTGTTCCAAGTAAATGATGTTTGTCAGAAAAGCTGGTTTAGTAAAACAAGAGCTGCACAGCTGACTGTGTAGAAAGCTATCTCTGAGGAGGACTTAAAAATCACCATAAATAAATAAGTGGACAAAAAAAATTTAAGCACATAGTGGCTGCAAAAACACGTGTGTATAAAAACATTTATTTCTGTATATGCTAATGGAAAGTTTGCTTCTAAAATGTGCCCAATTCTCACATCCAGAATTTTTACAGTGTTAAAAATTTGGAGAGAGTTCAAAGTGATCCCAAAGTATCCAAGGCCAAAAATAGGTCTAACAAAAATACTTGAGAAGGCTGGGAACTTAATTGTGAGCTGAAAGTGTTTACATAACAGAAGTCTTAAAAGAGAACATTAGTTGTCTCTCTAAGAAAAAAAAAAATCTCTAATCACAACACACTGTGCCTAGGTGATGCTCATTTTATCCCACAGAAAGGTAACTCTCTTCACTGAGAAAGACCTTTGGTTAAATTCTGTTATATTAAATATACTGTGTAGGTCATGAGCCTACTGATTTTAACATGAGTTTTCATGGATCATCAGGATACATGTCATTGTGGTTAGCATCATGGATACATAAGATAGCCAGAGAAGTTACCTCAACAAGTATTCCAACAGAAGGTGTAATTAAATCTTCTGAATTGGTGATGGAACGCTCTGGTTTAGTCTTGCAGATCCCAAGCCAGTAGTTTTCTTTCATCTTCAGTTTTTCCAAAAGGTATTTGCCCATGGCATCGCTGGCACCCTCTTCCAGAGAATATCTGCTGCTGCTGTGCTGGTGCATGAACCAGGTGGTATCGCACTATTTCAGGACAGGTACAAAGGTGTGTTCTGCCTCTTGATGCTCCAGGAGTGCACATATTTTAACGAGGGTGCTTGTTCTGTACCAGCCTTGGTAATCCTTCTTCAAACCAGCCATTTACCGGAGATTTCCAATTCCACAAGCTCCAAGAAATGTGGAAACTGCAGGAAGTTATGGTGTACAGCTACAGAAACCGTAACATGCTTGGAAGAGTCTTGATGGCACTACTCAGTGCCATAATTTGAAAGAGCGTTACGGTTCAGGCTGGGCCAACAACCAAATAGACAATTGGCTGCCTGTCCTTGTTGTGAAGACCGGAAATCTTCCTGTCCAGTTCCAAACAGCACTAGGGTAGTAAGCATGGCACTGTCTTCGACACAGCCTATCTACCAGCTCATCCTTTTTTCTTTTTCTAAATTGGTATATTCTATATAACACATACTGGATTTTCATGACTCAAGACATTCAGCTGAACATTATTAGCTGTTATCAGTACATTTCATCACGTTTTTTCTTTCTATTGCAAGTCTGTTGAAATTGTTTTTTAATGTCTCAGGTTAAACCTGTACATGTCTTTTCTACCAAAGAACACTGAATTTGTCTGTTGTTGATTACACAAGTTTATAGAGAACTAGCACTGACAAGTCCCTAAATGCCCCAAATACATAGCAAAAAAAAAAAAAAAAAAAAAAAAATTAATGGCATGTTGATGACCTAACAATGAGCATGAAATGTTTTTTTTCCACTGCCTTTCCAGCCATGCAGGACAGCAGGAGGTATCCTTAATGAGAGCAAGTACCTCTTGCTTGCTGCCACCAGGTCTGCTCCTCACCCTTTCACGTTTTAGCTTCCCTGAAGCAGGAATTCAAAAGAAGCCTGCAAAATGATCTCACATCATTTGTAGTAGGATGAACAATTGCTTCATTGAGCTAACTCCTGTTTATCCTCTGGAACTTGAATAAATTGGCAACCCCAACCGCGGGATGTGAGGAGAATAACACACTGGGAGAACATCTGCCATCCCAACTGTGACCTGGAAGGAAACTTGACTGTGAGTACTTGGGTTCAGTATGAGAAAAATGCTAACTGTCTGTTGTACACTTCAGGGGACTAATGAAGTTATGTGTCATCTGTTTGTGCAGTGCTGTTCATTCTTTTTTCTCTGCTTAGAAAGCCAGATGTTGCTAAACAGGGACCTGGCCCTGTGGCTTCCAGTGACTGAATAGTTGTTATTGCCTCTTGTCCTGAAAGATGGAATTTGTTAAAACTGTGGGCACGTGTACTTGTCCACGGTTGAGCTGGAGATAAGCTGAGTGTGAGTAAAAGCTTTCAAGTTTGATTTCTTCTACAGGTTAACAAACCGGGAAAGTCTCCTGCAGCTTGGCTCCTTTGAGGCTTACAGGCTCAGATCCAGGGAGGGCAAAGAATGGCTGGAAGGCAGAAACACAAAGTGGAGGGAAAAAATAAAATTACTTTAAATATTTTCCCAAATTAGGGTGAGCTGAAAAGAACTCCTAGTGATTATCTGGAAGCTTACCATGCTTTTGGGTACTGTATGGGGAATTACGTTTATAAATGTATAAACGAGTTGGAAGGGAGTACTCCAAGAGATACCCAGGTGGCAGAACTCATTAAATACAATTCACACATTATGCAGCTAACATCTTTATAAGAAGAAACACAGGTAAAAAAAAAGAAGCTGACTATGTCTGTGGGTTTGTAGAGCCCTCAAACAAGGATATAAAATTCATAAATGTAGTATCCAGTGGTGACTGATAAATTTAGTAACATTCTATAAGGCAGCCTTCCTGACCAATGTACACATCTAGGGACACTTCTGAGTTTTAAATACAGGAAAATGCAGGAGTGAACAACCATGTATAAAATTTCAGATACTATTTTAGAGCTTTTGGAGCTGCACCGAAGCGTTGATGAAAATGGTATGCTAGGTATGTATTACTATAGAAAGAGGTTTATGTTCTGGAGCCTTTTTGTTTTCTTAACCTTTGAAGTTAAACAGTTCGGGTGGCAAAAACGCAGTTGCCACAAGCCAGTGGCTGAGGGGGAGGTGGGAAATGTGTTTTGAGAATGATTCAAGCCAAAAAGCGGACCAACAAAAACTACATTCTAGGTTAAAAAAACACCCGGCAGTCACAATGAGGTGCTATTTTAAACAGCATTCCGTGATTTAAAATCCTCTAAGAATAACTTTTGAGAAGCATGCTCTGGTACCTAAGTCTTTGATGTAATTTCAATGCTAATTGAAATACAAAAGCCTTCCACTGACAGGTGTCTGAATCTTTGTGAGAAAACAGGAGCAGGAGGGATTGACATGACCATCCTGTAAAGATGTAGCCTATCATCCGGGCTCTCCCCTGGTGCTTACTGTAAGTTAACCCCATCACAAACAATTACTGTTCATTGTTTAATAGATCAGCATGCTAAATCTTTACTTTAACTCCTTCATATGATTTGAAAAATACCTGCGTGTAGCTGGAGGTAAATTTACATATCAAAAATGAATTGTCAGGTAAATGTTGCAGTTGAAGTGAATAAGTGTTTTTAATGTAATTAAATTATCTGATGTATTAATTTTCTTGAGCTCCAAAGTGGAAGCAATTAAATACAGTTGAAGAGTGTACAGATTTCCTATTCTTTAGAGATCTGACAAATAAAAGAACAGGATACAGGTCCTAGAATTTCCCAACCCTTCACAATCACTTCATTTGTCTGAACACTTGGCTTTGTGTTTCTGATATTTCCATGAACTGAGTGTCAGGGATGAAAACGTGGGTAGTACGTTGAGGCTCCCAGGAAGCAAAATGCAGCTTACAGCTATGAAGCTTTTTCTTGCCTACTGAGTTCTTATTTTAATACATTTCCAAATCTCCTCCTTAGGTAGCTTGCTACTGGTACTTCAAAAGCAAAAAAAAGGAGACATTTAGCAGGAAACATTTATGTGGCATTTTAGACATTTTCCCATTGTTTATGGTATCCACTGATGAGTTTAAAAAATGTCATTTCCTTTCCTAACAATCTTAATTTTTCTCTTTGCTTTTGGTAATCCATAAGTAGCAGAGTGAGTGTTTCCATAGCATTTTGCATGCTTCAAAGTAGGAGGATAAATTATTTTATTATTCACAAAAAACTATGGGCACAGAAGGAAACAGGCATTCAGTTGCTCCCAATGAATGATGTTCCAACACTTTGCCTTATGGATGAGGATTAATTCCTAGTACCTGCAAAATGAGGGTCTCTTCCAGTCCTTTGATACCTATGAATGACAGAACTACCAAAGAACAGTCTTGCACATTTATATTCTTCCCAGTTCATCTTACGATTGCAAGATTGTAAGACTTAACACTTCCAAGTAACGGTGACTTTCCCTCTTGGTGACTTGGTAGGGTAGGCACAGCCCTGGCGACAACCTCTAGCCTCCCCCGAATTCCCACAAGTCCCAGCCTTACAGGTCTTTGGAGAATCTTTTGTTGATTCAAAGAAAAGGGAAGGAAGGGTGGGATATCATAGTGCTGCCCTTTCTCCCAGCTCTTTGCAGCAGGAGCTGCAGGTGCTCTTTGGAAGCTGACTAAACCCATAGCTACCTGCTATTTATTTATTTACTACCAACAGAAGGCTTAGCAATTGAACAAGAGAGAGGAGTCATAAACCCTGGCAGTCTAGAGTCAGAGACAGAAAAGAAGAAAGATGAAGTAAAATTAAGTTAGTACCATGTTATCCCACTGAGATGGACCATCTTCTGGCTACCTACTAGCCAAATGGAGGTAAAGACATCCTGGAAAAGTTCAGCCTCAATAGACGTGTCAGACCACAGAGGATGACAACTTTGATTTGATTTGCCCAAGAGCACTTGGCAGGCATAGCAATGTGTTAATGGATAGGTATTAGGGTAGGTGCTTTTATGGTCAGGAAGGAATGAGGAATGTTTAAGTGCTCTGCCAAGGAACAGGAAAGAAGTCAGCATTACAGTTGTGATGCTGGTAGGAATGCCAAATCACTAGACCATGCCCTGTTTTCTGAAAAAAACAAAACAAAAAAAAACAAACAAACAAAAAAAACCCAAAAAAACCCCCTTCCTTATTTTACCGTAAACAAAGCTGGTAGCATTGTCAAACATGTTGCGTTTTCAACCTTGACTTTGCCGCTGTTTGTAATTTTGCAAAACTGACTCTTATTTTCCCACTGAAACTGGATGCAGTATTTGTCTTATGATCATTTGTTGAATTTTTATGTTCATTTGCAGCTGAGAGTGGTTTGGATCAAACAAAACCGTTAGGTAACAATACAGTGTGCATCTTCTATCAAAGCCACTGTATGCATTTCACTGTGACACTGTTTTTTCTGAACAGTAGATCAAGGGATTGATGTTTGATAGGGTAATGGTCTTGATGTCAAAAAACAAGTTTTAGTGTTCTTGCAAACATCTACCTAAAGATGGCTGTGTTACAGATCTCTGAAAATTGTAGTTCATGTGCGCTTCTTAGCTTTGCACAGACTTTGTAGAGCTTAATAGCTATATCTTCAGGAGATTCTGTTCATTCCAAGTTTTGTTTTGGTTTTTTGTTTTTTTGTTTTTTCTTTTTTTTTTTTTTTGCTACACGGGCTGAACAGATTTTCCCTGAATTGCTTCTTTTGTCTATTTAGTCGTTGGTGGCAGGGGGCCTTTGAGTACAGAGAATGTCTCCTCTGACCTCTCAACTGGTCATCATCTGACCATCAACAGACACGCAGGTGATGCAGGGGAGAATGTAGTAAGCCTGGGGGGTGCCAAGACTAGAGATGGGGCGCGCTGACAGACGGCCCAGCACAGGTGTGGGCATGTATCCCGAAGGCAACTCTGTAGGTCAGACTCCTTGTAGCTCCTCACCATTCACTGTATGCTCCAAGTCATGTTATGGGAAAAATGTCCC